CACGAAAAACGATGTCACTCATTTCAGTCGGTCTGTCGGTCAATCGGTCTGTCCACTAATTTAGTGTCACTGAAATACCTTGTATTCTCAAGAGGCTGCTGATCTTAGTGATACTATGCACCTATCAGACATAATAAGTCACACATATTTTCCTACATCTGCCATGGAAACAGAAATATGTTAGATTTGCTTTTTACGGGGTGTAACTTAGTTGATGGCTAAAAATACAGGATGTGATTCCTTAGATCATTTTAGGAAGAACATTTTATATGAACATATGTCCTAAACCTCTTAATTTCTGAGCCTCACAGTGTTAAAATTTTAAGAAAATAGTTCTTTTTCTTAACATAACTTTAGTACTGTTCTAGATATTTTCTTGAAATTTGACATGCACCTACCAATCACCAGCAGGGATTTTTGATGTAGAATACTTTTTAATATTTCTGCCAGTGGCATCCGTACGGGAGATTTTGAAAAAACATATGGTACTCCAATGCTTTTTCAAAAATAATTTTTATTTGAATTTCTCATTCATTTTTCAATAAATTTGACCTCTTGACTTTTTTCCGCCCGATGCATCGTTTTCGCGTAAAAAATAAAAACGATTTTGATGCATTTATGGTATAACGAAATTATTTTAAACTATTTTGTTACCAAACTATACTAAGTGACATATAAATCCGAACACCCAGTTTAAATGGTTTTATTTTAATAAAAGTTGGTGAATGTATTTATCTTACTGTAAATAACAAGTGAAAAAATTTTCAGCCTTATCAGTTGGACTTTCCGGTTTTTATACTGCTTTTTTTTTAATTCACTAACGCTCTAAAAATGAATATTTCAGCCTCAGTAAAGAATCAACGTTGGCGGATTTTGGTTCTTGACATCCTTTACGATCGGTTACGATGCCTAGAGTACGGAGACCTGTACGATTTCGTCAACTTAGTGAGTTTGATAGGGGCCGTATAGTGGGACTTCGGGAAGCTGGACTTTCTTTTCGGGCAATTGCAGTTAGAGTGCAAAGAAGTGTAGACACTGTGGTTAGGTGTTGTCAGGCATGGCTTCGAGAAGGCCGCACGCAAAGAGCAAGGGGCACTGGACGCCGCCGTAGAACAACAGACCGTGAAGATCGCCGCCTAAGATTATTGGCCTTAAGGGACAGTTTCTCCACTACCAGGTCCATTGCAAATGAATGGTTTGCAGAACACGGAAGACCTATTGGCATGCGAAGTGTTTACCGACGAATGAGAAGTTTTGGCTTGTTTTCATACCGGCCACACTGGGTCCTCCCTTTAACTCGAGAACACCGACGTAATCGCCTTGAGTGGTGCAGACAACGGTCACTCTGGGATCAGGAATGGAACAGTATTGTCTTTAGTGACGAGTCTCGACTTTGTTTAGGCATGCACGATGGTCGTGCCAGGGTTAGAAGGCGACGTGGTGAAAGGAGGAATCCAGTTTTTTGTTGAAAGACATGTTGGAGTTATGGTTTGGGGTGCTATAGCTTATGGTTCCAGGTCACCTTTAATCTTCATCAGAGGTAACATGATCGCGCAGCGTTATATCCACGAAGTTCTAGAACCCCATCTTTTACCCTATCTTGGCACCCTGGCAGATCCAACTTTCCAACAAGATAATGCCCGACCACATGTTGCAAGAGTCACAATAGACTTCTTTCAACATAATGATGTCACATTGTTACCATGGCCACCAAGATCTCCCGACTTAACCCCAATTGAGCACGTGTGGGATATGATGGGTAGGAGATTACTCAATTTGCAACGTCCTCCTCAGACTCTAGAAGCACTTCGAGAGGAGTTGGTGGAATGAGATACCACAGGAGGACATTGACCACCTGATCAGAAGCATGCCTAGGCGCGTTGGAGAATGCACATCAGGGTGCATTCACACATTATTAAAGGTCAAAGGGCTTTAAAGCAGTGCAATCATTTTGAAATTTATATCATTTACTTATTATGCTTCATTAAGTACTTATACAAAATTTTATTAAAATAAAATCATTTAAACTGGGTGTTCGGATTTATATGTCACTTAGTATATTTGAAATACTTTTGGAATTTTTGAAAGGGTTCGCCAATGCATGAGCTTATTTAATCCACAGAAATTGTCAAAACTTGTTTCAAAGTTTTTTTAATTTCATGCATTGCAAAATCGGTAAAATCTCACGTGGCTGTTTGTAGGTAATATATTTATGTTTAATTTTTATTAGAGTCAATTGATTAAAATAACCAAAAAGTCAAGAGGCCAAATTTGTTGCAAAATAAATGAGGATTTTTAATTTCGGAAGAAGCAATGGCGTATCGTATTTTTTTCGAAAAATCTCGAGTACACATACCGTACGAACGCCACTGGTAGCAATATTAAAAAATATTCTACCTCAAAAAATGCTTAGTAGGTGTATCTCAAATTTAATGAAAATATCTAGAACAGTATTAAAGTTATAATAAGAAAATGAATTTTTTATCCAGTATTTTTATTCATCAATTAAATTACACCCTGTATAGATTCCGCCTCTTGACTTAGTCAATCCACTTGACGCTATTTTTTGTTTTACTTTTTTCAAAAAGCTACATTTGCAGATACATAAATGGCATTTGGCGATAAACGATTGACGCAACATAGTGAACTAGGATTAAAACAATTCTGCTCTAAAAATAAATACTTATTCACAATCCTCGTACTGGCGATATTAATCAACTTTTTACCTGGATCCTTGCCTTCGTACTCGTTCTTCCATCCTCCGAATAACACCGTACCGTCCACGAAGTTCATCCGTATCATCTCCTCCCATCTAGGTGAAATACCTATTTCCTCCTCGAAAATAATCTCTTCAATATCAGTACCGCCCTCCACGTACCCACCTCCTCTGAGATACATACACCCCTCCTCCTCAAACTTTTTCTTGAATTCATCGTGCACATTGCTTCCGCTCATTTGGTCTAAATCTACTTGCACTTGGTTCGGAGTTGCGGTGTCAGCTCTACAGTAGCTCAAAGCATCCTCGCCTTCCGAAGTAGCCAGATCCTCAACGTCGGTATTAGTCGGACTTACTACGGTGATCTCAGGATTGCTCAAGGTCCTGTTGACAAGCAGTCTGTCTTGAAGAGAGAATGCTCCGATACCTTCTTTAGTAACCATAGTAACTCCTCCTATCTCCCGCATATGCTGAGGAGTGCAAGACGCAGCTCTGAAACTTCCACTGAGCTGTCTGTCATCGCCAGAAGCTCCTGCTAGATATTCGCAGTCGGTTCCTCCATCGGAATTGTTGATCAAGGGGGAGAGGCTCGTGTTCATTGCCTCTGCATCTGGTTCAGTAAGAAAGATTAGATTGCTCTTGCTTTCTTCGTTGCCGTCACTTAGGTAAACGTCTTCGGTGTCTGTTTTATCGTCATTCTTATTCGGCGAGTAAGCTTGTTTGACAGCCAGCATCCTCTCGTGCATGTACTTGAACTTCGGAGCTCTGCGGCGTTTTTGCTTTACGACAATTTCTTCTGTGTCTGTCAGTGGTTCGGTATCTTTCTTAACTCTGTTCGTCTTCTTGATCTTCTCTATCGCACTTACATTACCAAAGTCTGGCAACATCACGTCCTGGCTACAACCAGGATTATCTTCGTCATCGTCAGCCAATTCAAGTTCTGAAAGGTTTTCCTCATCCGTTGCAGCTTCATGGATTTCGCCATCAGAGTTGTCTTCTGTATCCAGAGGCAGTATTTGCGTTACGGGGAATGACTCATTCTCATTCAAAATGACGAGGGTTCTTACTGGAGGGGGAAGCTCCAACTCTGGAGTCCTATCGATCTCTTCAATCGCTTCATCCATTTCCTCTTCATCTGTGCTTTTCATCTGAGGGATTTCCTCAGAATCATCGCACTTGGAAGTGCCTGCGCATTTAGCGTCAGGTTCCTGTTCTGTGATAATATCATGCTTTTCCTCAATTTTGGTATAGCATGCGGCCATTTCATCTAGCTTTTCTTCAAAAGCAGTATCGTCGAATTTTTCTTCAGCCGGAGTAGGTATATCTTCAGTCTCTGCCATTTCTTCGACATCAGTACTGAAATTTGGCTCGTAGCATGGAACAGATAATTGTTTTTTTTCAACAACCCTCTTGCAAACGGGAAACGGTAGACGACCAGGTTCTTCATTATCAGAATCATACTGCAGGGAATGACTTTTTATCATTGCTTTTGACATGGTTTTCTTTTTAGGCCTTGTAGTATAGGACTTGAACTTTGACGAGTCTTCGTCTGAAATATCCAGATCTTCAACGTCGGTGACAGATTGTCTTCGTCCCATACGTGCCTTTCTCCGTTTGGTTCTGTTTTTCTTGCAGGAATCTACATCCTCGGATTCAGAATCCAAAACTTCGATATCCGTGAGATCTGACAGATTCGGTGATAGCGAAAGGTTACTCAGTTGCAATAGATTTCCTTGATTTTCAGTTGGAACTTTTTTTGAAGGACTCGATGTGTCCATTCTGTCAAATACGGTTCCACCATCACCATCTAGCTCTATGTTTATTTCCGGAATATCTTCCGCTTGTACTTCACTTTCCGTATCAAATGATTCTTCATCTGTCGGCGCCTCAGCAACGTGATGCTCATTTTCAATTGGTGCGTCCATTTGAATCGTTGACAGTTGGGTCTTCAGTTTGTTGGCCGTACCATTACTTTTTCGTTCGGTTTTGATTGATTCCTCAACAGTAGCTGCTTCTAGATCTAGATCATCTATCGATATCGGTTGTTCATGAAGCACCAGACTCTTACTCTCATCTTCATTATCTGACGCTTCGAAATCCTCCAGATCTGTTAGATCCGGGTTTTCGTTCAATTTGATTTTAAGTCGCAGCTGTTTGGGATTTTTGGGTACGTGGTTCATAGCGATGTCATCGTCATATAGATCTTCAACGTCTGTTAACGCTTCCGCTATGTTAGGATAACCTGCGGTGTCATCTTCGTCATCGCAAGTATCTTCGTCTTGAGTTATTGCGATTTTTGGAATCTCCGTGACGGTAGGCGTTTCTTCGGACATACTGGAGGCACTGTAAGACATCGAAATTATCGTTTGGTATATGCGCATTTTGTACCATGTATCCCTGAAGTTCTAGAAGAAGTTTAGTCGATGGAAAACGACATTAAATTTTATCCAAGAACTTACCGATATAAATAGTGGTGTCCTGGGTACTTTTTCAACGGAAATTCAAGTTAAGACGCTCGATAGCTGACATGGAGGAACCAGTTATATTTTTTCAATCCAATTTAATTCAAATAAAGATTTGCTAGTCATGCTACTATTACAATTTTGTAGATGAAAATCTTCTAGTTCCGTAGTTATGATGATGACTATTTAGTAATGTTTAAATGATTTTTTAATTTGAATATGAAAATGAGAACTAAATAGCATATTTTTTTACTTTTAACCACTTTAGTTCTTCAAACATAGACTTAATCTTAGCATATTCGTTTTTATTTAAAATGAATCTCATAGCTTTATCTTGTAGAATTTGTAATTTTCAAAATACCAACCTAAAGTTCTATACCTCCAAAAAAAAAAACACCCTTTATAATCTCAAATGGCCCCTTTAAAGTCTAACACTACATTCTTTCTCATCTATACTTCTTCTTGTTGTTGCGAAATTGTAAATCAGGAACCTTGGATAGGATTCGGTTTCTCCGACTCAGTTCTCAGCATCGGTCGACTATTATCTAACATGCGATACAACAATACCTAAAGCTACCCTGCTACATAGTTTGGGCGTACGTAAGACTAGAAGAGATGATAGCAAACTACGGATTTCCATCAATGTACCTCTTTACGTGTTTCTATTGCAGAAGCCATGCTGTGGGTAGACATCGCAACAGGTTCGTTTACAACGGAGGTTGAAGTACCTTTGTCCGTACCACCTTCCTCGTAGTCAAACTGGTACTTCCTCCGTGTCGGCGATACCACCTCCACGTCTAGTATTGGTGAGAGGCGTTCCTCGGATTTTTGGTGGCTTGTAGAGCCGGCCATTTCCGATTTCATCTCTTCGTATTGCGATAAGACTAGTTTCCTTGGCAGGGATACGTTATCTTCTATGGCATCCGCGCACGATGCCAAGTCTGATACTCTATATCTATCGCGTCGGTGTTTCGGCGACGTTGGCGATAAGGACTTATAGCGGCCGTTCGCGTCTGAGCTAACATCGTGGTCGGATGGAGAGCTAGGGAAAGCCACGGACTCCGACAGACTCGAGTCTGTTGTGTCTATCAGGGACATTTCAGTTTCGTTTTTCAATGTCGAAGCTACTCTTTTGATATCGCTATACGGCTGTCTGTATATGATCTCGATCGAGCCTGAATGCGGTTGGGTTCTGGTAAACGCCTCAGAGGTGATCATTTTGATGCCACCATTCGCTGATCTCACTCTGATCGGACTGCCTGGTAGAGAGGTGGGGCTGGTGCTTTTTCTGTCTTTGTCTATCAGTTCTTGATAGCTCGTCGGAATGACTGATTGACTTCTGGTGCGGTCAGCGTAAGAGTCTTGGATTTTGGACGGTTTCTCGGGCAATTGGGTGGAGAATTTGATATGTTCTGTTATGACTGTACGTCGAAGTTTTGTGGGAGATGGACTAGGTTTTGGACTTTCGAATTTTACTTGGTACTCGGACCTAACGCTCTTGCTCATCTCGACTATTTTATTCGAATCTACCACCTTGGATTTACTCGCAGATTTCTTAGGAATCGAAGTTTGCTTAGTCTTCGACGAAGTGGTATCTTTTGATTTAGACACTCTCGTTTTGGTTTCTTCCTCGGAAGACGTCTTGGTCAAATCGCTCCTACCTTTGCTTCGTTTCACAGGAGTACCTTCTCTGGATTTCAATTTCGATCTATCTTCGTCGTCGGATGTACCTCTAACCGTATCCCGTCTGACTCTACTCCTTCTGACAGGAGTACTTTCTCTGGATTTCATTCCAGATGATACGGTGGATCTCACGTCGTCATCGGAAGTATGTCTAGGAGTACTTCTTTTTATCGGAGTACCTTCTCTTGATTTGCCAGAATATGACAGGACACTTCTAGCGTCATCGTCTGAAGGTGAACTTCGAGTCTTACTTTTCTTTATCGGTGTGCCTTCTTTTGACTTTTGCTCCGAAGAAATTGTAGTCCTTGCATAGCTATGGCCATAGCTTGACTGGGTCTTCCTTGCCGAGTTCTGATCTTCCTGTTTCAGCTTGTTTTTCAAAGTTTCGTTAGATCTATCTATTTCTCGTTTGTCTTTAACACCGACAATCTTGGTGGGAGTTTGAACCTTCACCTTGTCGATCTTCAAGTCCCTTGACATAGTTGATTGCATGTAACCATGCGTACGATTGTCATATTTTCTGACCGTGTGTACTGGTTGTATGGGTACGAAGTCTTTCTTTTTCAAATATTCGGACCTCCTAGGTGAACTTTCCTCTACTTGCACTTGCCGTGAGGATACCTTTGAAGACAATTCGGTATCTTTCTTTCTGTATGTCTCCGCCTTTCTGGATGAAGTATCTGGCATACTCCTCAAGCCAGTGTCTACAACAGATTTTACTTGGGTCAGCTTTTTGGTTGGTCTAGGTATAGATGACTCAGGTTTGGATTTTTGGTGTTTGGTGGTTGTCTTTAAGCTGGTTTCTGACGACGTTGAGCTTCTGTAGGTTTCGATTTTCGCCTTACCAGTTCGCTTTTGCACTTTACTTTTAGGGTGTGTTTTTTTGTCATCATCAGAACTGTAGTCGCCCTCATGTTCAATTTTGCGAGGCTTAGACCTTTGACTGAATTTTGTTTGTATCTTTCTTTTATCAGATTCTTCCTTCGGTTTCATTCTTTTCTTTTCCTCTGTAATTTTGGAGTGAGCATCGGTGACGATAATTTCTAAAACGTCCTCGTCCATCTTGATGCTTGAAACATCATATCTTTGGCCAAAAGGTGAGCTTCCTTCTGTCTTCTTCGACGTACGCAATACTCTTGAATCAACAGTGGATGCCTGAGATTCACTTTCAGATAGAGTTTCTAGTCTGTGCGATGTATCAGTTTCGGAAGAGCACGGTTCTGCGTCTGTCTCGGAAAGCTTTGCTGAGCCACTCAATTTTCTCGACAGTGTCGTTTGTTGCTCAAAGCTTTCGCATACGTCTACGAAAGCATCGTTTTGTGCTTTAGCAACTACTTCTACTTTACTGACAGCTTGAAGCTTAACAGTGCTTGAATCAGAACCGGTACCTTCGGTACTCTTCGCAAGTAGTTTTGCGGTTCTTTCCGAATCAGATTGTCGGCGTTCTTCGTTTTCTGTTTCAGTACGCTTAGCGGATAGTGATAGATAGTGAGCTTCTTTCTTAGATTTTTTCACTCTGATTGCTTCCAAAATTTCGTCTTCATTCTCGACGGCGGTTTTAATTTCCTTTGAAGACATCATTGTGATTCCGGTCGAATCATGTACTTCAGATTTAACCTGCTTCGGTTCTTTGTCACTGCGCCCTGAGCTACCGTCCTCAGGATAGATTGACTCCAGGGAGTCATCAGACAAATCTGGATCATTAGGAATGCACGTACAAGTATCGCCGGATGTAGTTCTTTCCATTGCATATCGTTTGGATATTGCAACTCCGTCGAGTTCCTCCGTAGATGATGATTCTGATGCTGGGACAAGATCAGGTGACTTTTCGCTTTCTATACTATCGTGAGCATGACCTGAATCTAGGACGGGTTCTAAAAATGTAACGCACTTTTCGACTGAGCCCATATTTTCATCATCATCGCTAACGGTTCCTGATACAGGTAATTTCTCTTTTTTGTCAGTTCCAGAATACGTTTCCTTCACAGCTGACGGTTCTAAAGATTGCCGTCTTTGATCTGTAGGTTCCAATGTCTTGTCATTGTCAGGTAACAGCTCAGTTCCGTCAGAATTTTCTGGCGTGATATCTTTTTGTGCTTCAGGTTCTGATGATTCATCGAATTCAGGAGATTTTTCCGGTTGTACGGGTGGTTTAGGTGACTTGCATTTCATTGTTACCACCTCACCAGCCATACCTTCTAATGTAGGTTTTTCTAGTGTTATATCTTTTTGTGCTGCTGGTTCCGATGGTTCCTCCTCATGTGGTGACTTTAGAACTTTATAGGCTGATACAGGAGATTTCTCGCGGGTGCCATCTGTTTCTGTACATGTTCCTGAGGTTTTTCCGTCATAAACATCTTCTTTGAACATCATTTCCTTCTCGTCAACTGGTTCTGGTTTTATACCCTTATGTACTTCTATAGGCTCTTCAGTTATCTTTGCAGTATCAACAGTTGCTTCGTGCAAATTTTCCTTCACTGTTGGCTCAGCTGTCTTTTCTTCCACCTCTCCAGGATCAGGCACCTGCTCATTTACTATTTTCGCTTCTGATGTCTTCTCTTTTTCTTCTATCGACTCTAGGGTATCTTGTTTCACTGATTCTGGTGCTACTACTACCGAATCTGATGTTCCAACAGGTTTTACATCCACTATGCTCATTTTTTCCTGAACGACGGTTGTTGCTAATACGTTACTTTCGGCAGCAGGCACTGGCGTATCCGCCTTTTCTACAATTGCAGGCTTAGCGCTCGAAGATGATTCCTTACCCTCTTCAGCTTTTCCGCCTGATTTTGATGACTCCCTCTCAGTATCCATTTCGGGTGATTCAGTATCAATTATTGAACTCTTTTCTACCTTAACGTACAAAGCTTTCTTATCTTTCATAGTATATGTTTCCTCTGCTTCTTTGGTTAACGTCTGCGACTCAACTGTTTTTATTAGATCCTCCGTTGTAGATGCGGGCAGCATAGTAATAAGTTGACCTTCAGGTGTGGGTGTCAAGTCAGGTTTTAACTCCTTGACGTCCTGTCTTATTTGTTTCGAAGCTTCCAGAACTTCTGACATTAGCTTCAGTGCTTCCTGCTCAGTTACCGGCACCTTTACATCCATCATTTTTAGATCCAAAGTCTTTGACGTTTTATCTACCATTGTTTCGTGTACAGGTGACTCATGACGAATTGTGTGAGTTTTCCTTGTTTT